GGAGAATAATGTCGCTAATATCATCAAAATACCGAATAAAGAAAGGTACCGTTGTATGGGGGCTATACTAAGAAGTGGACCTGCATAGACAATTGTACGTCATAGGTTGAAGTACCAATTGCGAACTTTAAATACGACATTTGACGCAATTCCGGTGAATAATGTCGCGAAAATCCTGGAAATTCCGAGTAGTGTTATATGGTTGCTATACTAAATCGTAGACCTATATGAAAATTCTCTTTCAGGGGGAAAAGTACTCACAAAGAACTCCTTGTATAGAATTTCAGACAATTACATTAAAAAATGTGACTAAAATAATCAAAATACCGAATGTCGGGAGGTACAGTTATATGGGGGATATATGATATCGTGAACCTATATAGACAATTTTCTTTCAGAAGGCTAAGTTCTCAGAAGGAACTCCTTGTGTGGATTTTCAAGATATTCCATTGAAAAATGTGGCTAAATTCATCAAAATACCGAATAACGGAGGCAACATTGTATGGGGGCTATACGCTATCGTGAACCTATATAAGAAATTCTCTTTCAAGAGGTAGAGTACTCACAGAGAACTCCTTGTGTAGAATTTCCATGTAATTGAAAAATGTGACCAAAATCATCAAAATACCGAATATCGTCGGGTACCGTTATATGGCGGATATACGATATCGTGGACCGATATATTCCATCTTCGAACTTGACCCGCCTGCAGACAAAAGCGTGATTACAACAGGTGGACAGACAGACGGACGGACGGACAAAAAAATACATTTGCTCTCATATTTGGCGTTCCGCGGAGCTGTAAAACAGTTATTTCTTTCATAGCTGAGGTAGGTAACATGAACATATGAAAATGGAAATTTTCATCCTTTTTTACAAAGAACTTACTTCGGGTTTTTTACCCTCCACCATACTATGGGAGGCATATTAACTTGTCATTCCGTTTGTAACTCTTATATACTTATATCAGTACTAGCCAAGTATATATATTCTTGATCAACGTAAAATGTTAAGTCGATTTAGCGATGTCCGTCGGTCTGCTGTAATAACGCTATTGAGATAAAAGGCTTAAATTTTGTACACAATGGAATTTTGCCAGTACGCAGGTTAAGTTCGTAAATGAGCCATGCTGGTCAATGTTTTCATATAGCATGGTATTTTCATGATTTTAGCGACGTTATTCAACGGAATTGTTTCAAATGCCGTATTTGAAATTCGTAATGGATACTAATACCTATGACAAAGAATTATATATGCAGGTCCACGCCTTGGTATAGCCCACTTATAACGAACCTCCCTTTGTTCGGTATTTTGATGACATAAGCGTTGTGATTGGCTGTCTTTAAAAACTGCCAGATATGCTCTCTTCCCGAACCTGGAAGAGACTACTAGTTCTCCTTTTTTTCGATATCGATATAGAGGGAAAATCGGTTATGGTAGTAAAAAGTTTTAAATTCTTGTCGTTCTGGAGCCGACTAATAATAAGTTTGGGTAGTAATTTACAACTAATATAGAATGATGCTGAAAAAGAATTTGTTCTACCAAAAGTTGATCGAGAAAAGGGGGATAACAAAAACGCCGTTATTGAATGCTTGCTGGAATCGAACATTGCCAATAATATACAGGATACAATTTCTTCTGGAATTGCTTGTGTCCGTCTGTCACCCTCCCAGTGTGAAAATATACCACTTTAATAAAATAACATTGAAGACAAGATTACTGATCTAAAGCCATGAGAATGTGTACGTGAGGTCACGTCATAAGAGTAATCGGAATATTCATCCATCCATCCATCCACTGGGAAAGATATGCAGATCAAATTACATTTCCTCGTACATGCTACGATATTATTTTTGCTTTGTGCACTGGCAGACACACATCCATCCATACATCATTAGGCATGTTGGTGCTATACACGGGCTCGGACGAATGGCCGCTCTCATTCACAATTGAAGCAAAGTTATTGTCTAGATGCTAGCAATGGTGCCGGTGCTCATTTTACGGTTTCGTAACTGCGGACATCAAGTGCATTGTACTCTTAGGGAGGATGTGGCATAGTAGGGCATCTGCATACCTCCTCCCCCCTTTGTGTCCGATAGCGGACGACGTTTGTTCAAATTTGTGGTTAACCACATTTCTTCACATCCATCACTGAATCGTTTCCCATTGCTGTGCTCAGGGATCGTATGTGGACAAGCTCCATCGGCGGCGTTCTGATTGGATCGTCAGAGTTAAGGATGGAGTGAAGTCGACAGGCTATTCCCATTATTGGCCTTACTTTGATAATTTCGTTAACAATTGTGTTGCAGTTTGCACGTAGTTAGACGTCCTTTACCTCGAACTTTTAAAATGCAAATCTTTTTTTTTCGATCGCAGCGTTTTTGTGCGCGTTTCACTCTGCTTCGCCCGGCTAGAGAATGGCGGTGCTAATTTATTTGATTGCTAAAAAATTTGCATGGCAATACAAACAATTACTTTGGAAACAATCAACGCCAGTGTCATTATTGACCAATTTGCCATTCGGAGTGGAATACAGGAAGAGTATTGGGCCGAACATGCATGAGTTCGCGTGGAACTCATAACTACGTGGCTGTATGTATGGCTTCACATGCATACTTACATATCGTCGGTGTCATGCTCAAGTGTTCCATACGCCAATTGTCGGTATTGAGAAACTGACTGATAATCGAATTTTTAGGTGTGAATGGAATGGTTAGGAACCATAAGTGGAAATATTCAGATACGTCTCTGTTATAACAAAAACGTTACAGGGTTTTTAAGCAGACAGTAAATTATTCTAATTTCACAAATTGTCTTATTATAGTCAGGCGTAATCCCATTGTTGTTGTTTTTATAAACACAACGTTTGTTTATTAGTTAAGGAAGATGATAATACTTACCGGGGGGTAAGGCAGGGAAATCTAGGTTTCCAATCACCACCACCAATCCAATCCTCAGTTCCCTTAATTTTTGTCTATTATATTCTCCCCAGAAGTTATTTTAAAAATGACTCCTATAACAAAAAACTGTTTACCAAAGTAACGGTTGTTGACGTAACAACAACAACATACAATTTTGTTTTTTTTTTTCACGTAACACAAGTGTCAGAGTTATATATACAAAAATGTAAACAAAGAAAAAATTAAATACTTTTTATTTTAATTTGGATTATTAAATTTAAAATGCAGAAGAATAGTTCTTAAAATATACTATATATAATACTAGGCATGGTATAATTCTGGTATATTCTATAATAATAATTGGTATATTCTTAAAGGATGCAGCAAACCCCAGCTGATTTGGCTCTATAGTAACACTAGCGTCTAATTCGATATGACGTTTTGTGATTTAATTACATTTCTTGGTATAAAATAGGGCCAAAACTTCTATACATGACTATTCTAATTCTTTAATTTGCAATGTCAAATTTAAAACTGATTTCCATCTTTGATCTGTGTGTAAACAATCGATTTATGAACCAACATTGTCCAAATATTGTCAAATGCATAATTTTGAAAAAAAAAAAAACAATAGTGGGATTTCATGACTTTACTTTCATAGTTCTACCATGAGTGTATACGTTTTGCATATAAAAATGAAATGTAATCACAAAGGGACACATTGAATGTGACACTACTATTGCCGTAAAATTCCATTAGAAAATATATACCAAAAATCCTTAGATATATCACAATATTGCAAAGTGTCAAAAATGACGTATGTGAAACATAAGCATCACGTCAGCGATATGTATGGAGATTGGAGCTTATTGTGAACTTTGGCCTTATTCAATGGTATGAGAAGTCTATCGGATTTCACACAGTGGAAGTTTGGGCCAAATAAACAATTCCTTGATATCTGTCTTGCATATATTTGTTCCTTAAGGTGCGAATACACCGAAGCCTTTTTTACTGACTTAAGTCATGGGCTGGCTTCTTCGTAAAAGAACAAAGCAGTGACTTAGTTCAATTTCAGCCCATAATTTACAATGCAGCCAGCCGATGCCCAAGCCAGTAACAAACTTGTTCTATGTGTTCTCGTCTTAGTCAATTAAGGAGCATGATTTCTAAAGAGTACATTGGAATTCCTTCTTGCAAAGAACTAATTTTTAAACATAACTGTCCGTGACAGCAAAAAGTTCATTTGGAAGATCAAAGTTCTGAAATGTAATCCACATTTATTTCTATTTGTACTAAAGAATGTTTGTACAATGATACAAACATTGTCATGTGGGGTAAGCTGATTAAGACTGAATAACATTATGTATTCTACACTTCTCTTACAGTATTAAAGAGAAAATCGCGAATAATTAATCTAACCTCACGAATATTTCAAAATACCGAGTACCAGATATGATTAAGTTTCCTTTTATCCTAAAACGAAAAAGGATATTTTCTTCAAAAACTGTAAACATAAATGTCTATATAAGTCTATATAAGGTAGGCCTAGAAGACAAATTTGGACAACAATTTGACAATAAACATAATAGTTTTTCCACCATTGCGACTTGGTTGTCTGATGGACTTACTGGCCGACAATATATAGGCCATGCATGGTACAATGAAACCTTAGGCCAACAAAAAGGAAACCCCATTATATGCAATATATTAAGGCGCACATTCACATTCCTAGAGGGTAAAAAAATTTTTATGAAAAAAACAGAAATTTAACATTCCCTACTTTTCGTGGTGGGGAATACAAAGAGCAACAAATTGTTGTCATTCATGTTCCGCCGCCTTTAGTCGTCCCTAGCTTGGTGCCAAAAATCAGTCGATAATGTGAAATTCCATAGTTGAAATGATGCAGAATCTCTCTGAAAAATTAAATAAAAAATTGCAAATAGGTTTTTTTTTTAAATCATTTATTTTTGTTTAAGTAGGATTTTGAGTTTTTTAGATTTTTTGTTATGCAATAATTTAAATAAAATATTTTTCACAGTTTAGTTTTAAATATTATATTTAACTAGGATTGAAAAATTCTTAAAGAAAATACAAAACAAAATTTTTACAGTTACTTTTATTTCCTTCTTCTGAGGCGGTTTTGCATGGTAAAGTTAAATTTGCACAGTTTTCGTTCTTGTGTTGTGGTTTATTAAAATCAAATTAAAAATAGTTAAAAACAAATTATCATAAATAATAGAAAGTGGAAAGAAAAGGACATGAGAGACAACCAAATAATGGGATATTTAAAAAATCAACACTAAAGTATTCATTGTTCTGAGATAATAAAATGAAACATGCTTCGCTTTCGGTTTGAACTTTCGTTTTCAATGGGGAAGGAGTAGGTTAAAATAAATAATTTAAAATAGTTCTAAGAATATGTTTATGTAACTTTTATAATTTTTCGTTTCGATAATTGTATCTTGAAATCAAATAGTTTTACGTTTCTGTGGTGTAGATGCTTCGTTAGTGTTGTTTCTGTTTGTGTTTGTTCTGCTTAAGTCTGATTTGATATATTTAGATATTAAATTCATTATAATATTTATATTTATTAAACTTATTTATTTTGTTTTTCTTTCCGTATATAAATGAGATCATTTGAAAGTCCAATTCAAATGTGAAAATTCGAAAATTTTCCTTATTTTTCAAATAAACATACTTTTTGTAAAAGTTTATTTTTAGCATTAACTCAAATCAACTTTACGCCTGGTGCTTGTGGTCTTGTGGCGTAGAGGAGGTCGTGGTTACCACTAACTTCAACGACAACGTAGTGTCAGTGGCTCGCTGTCTCTGGCTTTTGAAATGAGAGCTGGCATTTGGCTTGTTTTGTTCAGTAGATATGTTCTCTTCAGTACTGCCCTTTGCTCGCGAGGTTGTTTCGTTCGGTTTGCCCTCTAGTGAATTGTCTTGCGCGGCTTGTGGCATATGTAATACTTCCGATTTAAAATGAGTATTTTCTAATAGATTAAATGACTTAGTGGTGTCATCCGAGAAAGGCGACATCAGTGAGGATGTTAACAATGGTGATGTCACTGCAGTTGACTGTTGTGATGCTGATAGGGACATTATCGATGGCGAGTAGGATTTGTTTTTGCGTAAGTTGAAGCTTTCTGAAAATAAGAAAAGAAATACACAAGAAACAATGAAATAGTGTGATTAAAGAAAAGACAATACAATCTAGGGCATGCACCCATGAACATACTTATAGATAAGTAGAGTAAACAAGTCTCTCGCGCTTGTTTCTTTGCAAGAAGAGAGCAACGGATAATGTACACTGCACTCGCAGTATCGACCAAATACCTCATGGAAAACACAACAAAGGTCAACGAACAGCGTAACGTATCTTCATTGACCTTGAACAAAATGCAATAGCACATTTTCAATGATAATGGCCAAAATACAAAATTATATATATATATATATATATATATATATATATATATATATATTCAACAACAAAATAATTTTATAGCTTTAATATACGTATTTGCAAAATGATAAGATAACAGTCCAATATTGAAATCGACTTTGTAATTGCTGTGGAGTCCGTTAAAAAGTGTCCAAATTCGTCTTAAAAAATACTCAAAACTTGCACAAATTTGTTTTGGGATTAAAGTTCGATGAAGAAATATGTTACAGTTTCACCAAACATGAAGGACTGTAATGCAAATTAATAAAACGAATAAATCTCCATTCTGCAAAACTATCAACAAAATACTGCATTTCGAGAAAGCATCAAATTCAGGCCTTAAATCTGTCTAAAGATTTACAATAGCAAAGAAGTTTTGTTCAGAAAACATAAATTCATAATAAAATTGAAATTGGAGACCGATATTTTGGCCTGTATTTAAAAAAGTGTCTGCTACTACAATTTCAAGTCATTACAAAAGTTAAATACACGTATATCAATGGACATTACCTAATTCCGCCCTAAATCATGAATATGCATATGAACCAATTTGATCATATAAAAATACTTGATCACCCACTTTTTTAACATATTCCGTACGGTCGTATAAAAAGTTCGATGAAGAAATATGTTACACTTTCACCAAACATGAAGGACTGTAATGCAAATTAATAAAACGAATAAATCTCCATTCTGCAAAACTATCAACAAAATACTGCATTTCGAGAAAGCATCAAATTCAGGCCTTAAATCTGTCTAAAGATTTACAATAGCAAAGAAGTTTTGTTCAGAAAACATAAATTCATAATAAAATTGAAATTGGAGACCGATATTTTGGCCTGTACTTAACTTACTTAACTTAACAATTTCAAGTCATTACAAAAGTTAAATACACGTATCTCAATGGACATTACCTAATTCCGCCCTAAATCATGAATGTGGCATATGAACCAATTTGATCATATAAAAATACTTGATCACCCACTTTGTTAACATGTTCCGTACGGTCGTATTAACCAATTTACAAGGGATCTATACAAATGCCGATTTAATAAGGAGGCAGACAGTTGAAAATGCTAGACATTCTTACATAGAAGGATTTTTCCAACACAGGAGTCAAATTTGTCACAAGAATTTGCGGGTTTCTAAGGGACCTAGAAAACTTAAAAAGATCCAAAAGAGGAGAGAAATTTTTGTAGAAGAACAAAATTGACCTTAAATTTACAAGGCAGCCAAACAAACAAAAACAAAAAAAAACTCTTTCACAGAAGGAGATATATAATACGATCACGACATTTAACACAAAAAACATATCGCATAACCCTATGGTTTTACATATTACCATGTTGTAAATACTTTTCGACCTAAATTTATGGTCGACCGCCAATGTTTGTTTATTTTTAATTTATTATTAGAGCGAAAAGGTATTTCGCCGCAACGCAGCAGGAAATTTCTAATTTGTTCAGACCATTCCTTCTTCTAACATAACATGCAAATCCTCATTGTCAATTAACGCACTTACATTATGTGAAAAGAAATTTCAGAATTGTTAGTTTAAGATCAATAGAAGACATCGCTGGTCCTTACCATGACTACTTCTTGCTTTGCTTTTTTGTTTTCTTTGGTGGTCTGTATTACCAATAGGATAAACATGATGGGTTATTCCTTAACAAATAACAAAATCACTGATATCATATGGTCGCGACTTTATATCGGTTCGTTACCCGACTTGTAATGAGTATTTTCACCAAAGTCCATGAACAGGTCATGATATACCGTATAAAATGTTTCGCTTCACTGCAAATAGTTTATTTTCTGGTACACTTTCACCCGCGAACGTTAATGAAAAGAAGACAACTCACAACATTATTAGGTTTTCTTCCCCCCGAAATTTTTCAATTTCAATTTCATGCATTTTTTCGTTTTGAAATCTAATTGCAATAACGTAATTTGGCAACGACCTTATACGATTAGAAACTCACTTTGCAGTAACATTTATTCTGTACTGACAAATGTTCCCTTGAAGATCTACGAAAGTTTCATCTTTTTGCCCATAACTCAAAAAAATCGACCTAGTAGTCATGGAAAGTTATGCCATCCCCCCCCCCTCGTCATTTGCTGGGATATTAACGCGAAACGTAAACAAACGATATGAAAACAAATCCAACAAATTCGTAAACAACAATATACATACTATTATTTAAATTCCACACATATACCTACACATAATATTTATAGCTTTGAAATTTCGACCTCAAGGAGAGGTTCCCTCTCCGAGAGACAGTGTGGATCGAGAAGACAACGAAACTCACAAACAAATTATAAACATACGAAACATATGCATATGTATTGATAAATTAATGTATGCATATGAGTCGGATCGGTTTGTACGATACAATACGAACGCGAAATAATATTCACAGAAATAGCTGCTGGCAAACAAGAGAGTAAGAGTTTATCAAAAGGCATGGAGATAAACAAAAGTGTGGAGACAAAATCAGAAACAACCATGCCATGCACAGAATTGAGCGGGGACGTGGACGGGGTGTCGGGGCACATCGACTTCGACACAAATAAAATCAAGAGCAAAAACTGAATATTACTGGGTATAAGAAAGAAAGAAAAACAATCACCAGAAGTAGTAAACAGTGTCGCCATACATGCTTCGCTCCTCTTGTTTTGGCTAGAAAACGATAGAAAGTGTAATACCAACTCCTCTTTAAACAACGGATCCATCCTTGGAATAATTTTCTTTTATCCCATAAAAATTAAAATCTTGAAAAGCTCTTTTGGGAAATAGTTTTCTTTCACATTCAATTTCGCATCGAAATACACAAACAGGCACTAATTCTTGTGACGAATGAAAACATTGATGGGCGATGGGTTACATAAAAACCATTAGTTTTTTCCACCCAACACTAGAAATGTGGTTTTGGAGTAGATGTATTCAAACCCCTTACTTCAGATTCGTTAGTTTTTCCACGAATATCCAGACAATGGTAATAGAACATAATCAAAACGTTAAAACACTCAAATCGGTTCTAATATATTGACAACGCGTTAGGAATGAGGACGATGTCATTACATGGCGGTCAATATCGAACTGGGACATAGACAAATAAAAGTATAAACTAAAACGTTTTAATGATTACCCCCCTCCCGGCAGAGGCCACCATGGTTGATCATTAGGATAGTGAAGTCACTCAGGGTTGGTAAAGTCCCTCGACTTCGATAACAAACTATTAGAGTTGCATATATTTAATATTTTACGACATACTTGGATAATGTAAACGTAAAGCAAATCATTGCGATGTTTTCAAATAATAAATGTTAATAAATCATAAAAATATTCGATATTTTGCGTATTGTGGGCAACTTGTTCCCGAATATCCAATTCATACCTAACCTAAATAGGTCAGCTGATTGAATTGAATTATTAAAAGAATCGAATGTGATCCACAACAAAGTCCTTCTTAACGCAATGCAATGTAAAACCAACCATTCGTTAATGGGCAGTACCAAAATGCTATATGTTCAGTGAGTATAAAACGATTTCGTTTGCAGAGAACAAACACGTTCGCCACATAGAAGAGAATCCAAACAAATGCTCCGAACCAAATAGAGTGTGGGTGCGGCTGCATTGTGAGTGAATAAAGAAATCTAGTTGTGTTCGATGCACATGTACAGTTCCCCGCATAGAAAAGCAACAGCGACGAACCCAAACAGAATATCATCCATTATTAAAGAACTGCATATTCATAGAGGGCAACCATCAGCTCAACGATAAAAAATCTGTATCACACACTCTGACGTCATTGCGAAAGAAAATTGTGGAACGTATTTTCCAAAGACGACAATGTAAACTAAGCGACGTAAAAATGCCATAGTGCTATATTTGAAAATGTTCATGTTAAAACCTATATATTTATATAGGTCTAGGTTTGGGTGGGTATAGCTCCCCATAAAGGTTCGCTCGATATTCGGTATTTTTAAGGCTTATGAGCCAGCATTAAATGCGTCTGTTATACTATAGTTTACAAATTACAAATGGTTTTATCTAGTGGAAAAAAATATACACATTTTATTTATGCGGAAAGTTCGGTCATATATCCTAAATTATTCGAAACTATGACTGTCTTAGACGCAGCCACATCTTAAATAGTATCAAAATGTCTACTGGAATCTTTTAAATTATAAATAAAAAAAGTATTGCAAGTGTTTCTTTGCCTATATATTATTATCATTTGTTCAGTTCCAAAAATTAAGTTTTTAAAGCAACTCTGTTTTCACTTCAATTTTTAATCAGAATTTGATCGTTATAATTGATATTTTGTTTAGAAAAATTCATTTCAATATAATTAATTTATATATTTGATATTGTCGCACATTTCAAACAATTTTATTCAAAAATGTGGTTACATTTATGAAATATAAGACATAACATTGCGTATTGCTAAAACACAGGCGAAAACGCAACATTTATATCGTGTCTTAGATTTTGGTGCAAATTTAAAAATATGTATAATTTGTTGAATGTTAACTGATTATTTCTATGAATCACAAATGAATTGAGAAACTTTATATGCCATTATGTGGAGGAGAGTACAAAAAACAGACGAATATGCTTCAGATTTTACTCATCCTTTTATTTTTACCAAACATTATCCCTGTAAATGGTACATAGAATTTCAGAGAAATTGT